GCCTGGGGGAGCAGAAAGAGGGGATGTGGGGGGAGCAACTTCCAAGGGGTCCCAGAGTGGCTCCTTGAGTTTGCAGGGCCTGCCTTGGGACATCCATCGGGGAGATTCAGAGACATCAACTGCTTGGAAAAGAGGAGGGGGTGATCCAGAAGGGCTGCCTGAAGGAGCCTAACTGCAGGTCCCTGAGCCCCAGGCAGAGGTGTTCAAGGCCAGCTGCCCACTCTGCAGGACCCCACCTGCCTACCCCTCATGTGGCCACCCCGAGGAGGGATGCTGGACAGGCCTGAGCTCTGAGCAGCCCCTAGTGCTGAGCTTCAGGAAGCACCGTGAGCAGGAGCCGTTCTCACCAAGCGGAGCATTTGGGTCTCCCCCGCCCCAGAGCGATGGGGAATACGGGATGGGGTGGGCTTAGCTCTGTTAGTGAGCTGGCCATGGACTGGCCATGCCAGAGACTCCCACAGTCAGTCCCAGCCTCCTCCCTTCCAGACATGCCCTGCGCTGGGGCAGGCCCACTGGAGCAGTGGTTCTCAACCTTCCTAATGCCGCGGCCCTTTAATACAGTTCCTCATGTTGTGGTGACCCCCAATTTCATTGTTACAAATTGAACATAATGAAAGCATAGTGATTCATCACAAAAACAATATGTAATTATATATGTGTTTTCCGATGGTCTTAGGCGACCCCTGTGAAAGGGTCGTTCGACCCCCAAAGGGGTCGTGACCCACAGGTTGAGAACCGCTGCACTGGAGGCTCATGCACTGGAGGAGAGGCATGGAGCCTCGCAGTCCGCTTGGGGCGCTTTAACGCAATCCCACAGGCTGGTGGTTTATAAACAGCGCAGCTGCATTGCTCACAGTTCTGGAGGCTGGAAGTCAGACCAGGTGCCGGCGGGGTCTGGTCACAGATGTCTTGTACCCACCCCCAGCAGAAGGGACGAGGTTGCGGTCTGGAGCTTCATGTATAAGGGCTTCATCCTGCTCACGAAGGCTAAAGCACCTCCCACAACCCCACCTCCTACTACCATCATTTAGGGGGTTAGGATATGACTTTGAGGGGGACACATTCAGACCATAGTGGAGCCGGATGGGCAGGGGTTCTAAGCCAGGGAGGCCCTGGCCTTGGCCTCACCCTGGGGAGCAGGTGGCTGACATACACCCTTTCTCCTTACCCAGCCTGAAGGACTCACCCAGGGCCCTCCTGGGAACCTGGAGCCCTGACCCAGCCCTCAGGCACACAGGTCCACCAAACCACCTGCTTTCAGATCCAAGATACTAGGGGGCATGGCCTAGAGGTGGGTGTGGTCCCCTCTCTGCTAGAATTGGGCCCAGCTGAGTCGTTGGACACCTTGAACTTGAGTTTAAGAGCGTCTCGTTGGGGTGTCATGGTGCTGCCTGGTCATGGAGGACCTCGCTATTGAAAAGGATGCCAGCATCCTTCCTGCTCCTGGGAGGGTAACACCTAGAGAAGCTGCTTGGCTCCTGCTGGACCCTGTCGCATGGCTCTGGCCTGCACAGTCTTCATGTCCAAGCCCCTTGCCTACACCTGGGACCAGGACCATGATGCCATCTGTGCAGCCTGTGAGGGTAAGGGCTTCCCTGGGTCAAGCTGCTCAGGGGGATGGGGGTCCAGGCCAGGGAAAGTGGGTACAGAGCCTGGGCTTCTTGTTGCAACCTGCCCTGCTGCTTCTCCCTGATTGGTCCAGCCTGCTTGGGACGGGGGTTAAGTGGGAGGCTCTGTGATTGGCTGCCCTCGCCAGAGTTCATGGACTGGAGCAAGAAAGGCAAGGTCTCTCCCAAAGAAAGGGGGTGTCCTGTTCCTGGGTCCCGCATGGAACCCAGCCCCCCCCCCAGATGTCTGTGGACATTTGTTAGAAGGTGGACAGCTACTGTCATTATGCAGGAGAGGAAACTGAGGCTTGAAGTGGTACCAGACCTGCCCGAGTGCCACAATAAGTGGGTGATGCGCCCCAAATGGCCATATCTCCCCCAGCCACACCAGGATGGGTGAGAGGGACGTGGCTGCAACCAGAAAATTCTGCCGCAGATTTTTCTAGTTGCATGAGTCAGAGGAGATGATTAAAGGTGGATTATGGGGAGATAAAACGTGCGAGTGCTGCACAGGACGTAGAAAAAGCACCAGAGCCTCAAAGACCCCACTGCACGCTCAGTGGGGTGACTCAGACTCAGACTCCACGCAGCGAACACGGAGGCACAGAGGGGATGGGCTGGGTCCTGGGTCAGGAGCCCTGTGTAGCCCGCTGTGCCGGCTAGTCCTGGGCTGTCAGTGCTGGGGACATGGAGAAGGGGACAGCACCTCCCCAGGCCTGTGTCCCTGAGCCTCAGGGACCCTGTGGGTGCCCAGGCAAGAACAGCCCCCTAGACGGATGGTGACTTTGGCTCGGGGGGGTGGGGGAGCAGGGAGGGCATGTCCAGAGTCACTCGCTGCCGGGTGGCTCACTGCACCCTTCAAATGCCAAGCACCAGGCTGGGCTGCGGAAAGACCCAGGGGAGCAAGCTCTCCCTAGGGACCAGGGTGCCTGAGCTTCCTCATTATATCCAACTTTGAAGACCGTTCCTGTCAAAGCACGCCTGCTCCCAGGTAGGCCCAGGGTCCGACCACACCAGGGTGAGAGGTAGTGGACAGGGAGGAAGTGGCCCTGGCCGGGCGGGGGCAACCATCCTAGCTACCCCCACCCTGGCCCGCCAGGAGAGGAGGGAAGCCTTGAAGTGCCAGGCCTTTGAATCGCTGTCTCCATGACAACGCGTGGGCACAAAGGGCCGGGTGGTGAGCAGGCTGTGGCTATGCGAGGCTGAAAGGAGGAAGGGAATCTTTTATTTATGGGGAAGGAGGGTTGGGGATCTGGGCTGCACCCACGCCCATGACCAGATTGAGGTCTTAAGGCTGTGACCTGCACCCCTGAGCCAGCACACCTGGGACACCCGAGAGGATCGAGCGTGAGCAACTGGAGGACAGGGCTGGGGCGAGAGTCCAGCATGTACACAGTCAGAGACGTGACCCCAGAGGTCCCCCCAGAGTGAGGGAGCCTCCCTCCACTGCATTCAGTCTCTATAGGGCTTACTTTCTAGGACAGGTACATGCCAGGTGCTAGGGCAGGTGCAGGCTGCAAGGAAATGCGAACAAGCCAGATGCTGCAGAAACAGCAGGTGGGGGTTGCCTGAGTGGGTACTAAAGAAGGTGTCAGACTTGGTCAGAAAGAACCACCAGTGCAAAGGCCCTGGGGCAGCACCGAGCTGAGAGTATCTGAGGACAAGCAGGAAAGCCAGGAGTCAGACCTGCAATCTCTCCTTTCCCCCACACCTGGCCACAGGCTCCAGGTCTTGGACATCAGGTGGGGCCGCCACCCAATCCTAGCTTCCAGCTGCCAGCCCCACCTTCCCCTGTTCCCCGGGCCCCCAAATGCAGAAAATTGCACCCAGGGTGCCACAAAGGGAGAATTCTGACCGAAGAGACCGAGGAGCAGTGTAGAAACCACCATCGTGGAGCAGACATTTTATTGCACTGATTAAAATATTTGAGAGATTGAAGAGAGAGACGGAGGTGATGTCATAGCCCTGTGGCTGCTTGCCGCAGACTCACCCACGATAGCCCCTTGCTCCTCCCATCCTCCCCGCAGCACGCCCCGTCTCCTTTCCTTGTACATGTCTGGATTGGGCAATATTTTGTGAAATTGGGAGAGCTGCACTGGAAATTCAGAACCAACATGTGCCATGATCCGCACACACAGTTTCTAGTTTGAGCTGAGGGAGGGGTGGCCTGAGGACCCCCACCCCCACAGTTCTCAGGCTTTAGTGAGAAAACCACTCATAGGGTTGAGAGGGGCTTGTAGGAAGCCCCATGTCCCTTCCAGCTGGGGTCTGGCTGTGTGGGCTTGGGAGGCTGCAAGCCTTTGCGGAGCCTGGAGCCAGAGGCCCACGTGGCCTGTCTGAGCTTTTGTCCCCTCCACAGTGACCCCCCAGCTCCTGGCCCCCGGGGCGCCGGCCTCAAGGCAACTTAGGGTCATTGGGCCGTTTCGTCCCCTTGCGTTTGGAGGCAACACCCCCCTTACTCCCACCTCTGCCCCAGCCAGACTGCCTCCCTCCGGTGGCATCTGTAAGTCATTTGATTCCCACATGCTCCACTTCGGGGTCTGAGCCCAAGGTGGGGGAGGGAGGGCTCCAGGGCACCAGGCAGGACTGAGGGGATGGGGAGGGGAGAGGCTGGCAGGCAGGCAGGAGAAAGGTGGCCAGAGTGGGGTGGGCAGCCGGCTTCACCCGCCCCATCGGTACTGAGTCTGGAACGGCCCCTGGCCCCTTCAGTCCAAAGATGGAACCCTCCAGCCCAGAGAGTCAGATGATGTTCCCCAAACCCCCCCCCCCCCCAGGCCACATTGTCAGTAGCAACAAATGGGGCATTGCAGCGACCGCCACTGCACAGCCGACTCCGCGGGGCTCCCGGCCGACAAGCCCCAGTTCCTCCTGCTGCTCAGAGAGACAGGCCCATGGCTGCCACGTGCCTCTGCTGGTATCTGTTGGCCCTTCTCCACCCCCCACCGAGGGCTTTCATTCTCTCATTTCATCCCCCATCAGCTCCATTGTAGAGATGAGAAAACTGAGTCAATGGCAGGGAAATGAAGTCTGGGGTCAAATAGCTGGGACCGGGGGGAGGGGA